CCCCCCCCCCCCCCCCCCCCCCCCCCCGCCGCCCAAAATTATAAACCTTACCCTGCTGTATGTACCTATCTTCTTCCATGACTATTGAAGTTTAGGACTAGGCTATTACAAAAACTAGGAGTAAAATCAGGGAAACCCTTCTACATAAGTGATTGATGAACAATTGTTCAAACATCTGTCTACAATTTATTATTGGTTTTGTTCCCAAAAGATTGAGATGTGGTAAAACAGATGTGCATTTTGGATTTGGATCAACTGTGATCTTATTGCCCCAAGTGGCTAAATGGCCTGCTCTTATTCATGTACTGTTATGCACATCTAATGCCTCTATTTGAGGAAATAAAAACCAAAAGAACTGCAGATGCTGTAAATCAGGAACAAAAGCAAAATTGCTGGAAAAGCTCAGCTGGTCTGGCAGCACCTGTGAAGGAAAAAACTGTTAACGTTTTGGGTCCGGTGACCCTTCCTCAGAACTGAAACTCTGTTTTTTTCCTTCACAGATGCTGCCAGACGTGCTGAGCTTCTCCAGCAACTTTGTTTTTGTACCTCCTATATCTGAGGATTGTCTGAATCTGGCCCATCAGGGAACTGTTTCCTTGCTGTTCCACACTCAATCCTTGGTATAACCTTTGTTATTTCTGGGCTAGTGTTTGTTGTAGGTGAAGTATATAATGGTCATTTGAGGACTCTGTCGGCCCCAGGAGCTAACATTTCTCAGCTATCCTACATGTCCCACTATTTTATCATGGTGCAAGCATCCAGCTCTGTCTGGTTACACAGGTTACTACAGTCACATGTTGAACACAATACTTGATTACTGCTTCAATGTTCACCTAGTCATCCCTCCAGTTTACACTGGAACACTTTATTTTTAAAAAAGCATTTGAAACTAAAGCAAACAGTAAGTTAAGATTAAAATTTAATGGGAGCTACTGGACTAATTGCATTCAATAATTGGAGGATAGTGCTACATTACTGATTTGACTTGTCATTAATTTTAATGTCATATGGTGGTCTTGCGTATGGCATGGTGATTTTATGAAGACAATTTAAATTTGAAATGGGGTCATGATAAAAGACAATGCACTTTTAAAGTTACTAACAGGAATTTGTCTTCTGGGCTAAACTTCATCAAAATGAAGGTTGGGACAAAGTCAACCTAACTGAACGTCGTCAGGAATTGTGAAAACACAGCAATGGTGACTGGGAAAGAATTTGAGAAACCAATACAAGACAATAAAACACTTCCACTCCTCACTGTGTTTTTCTTTTATTAAAGTTAACTTTATTCTTTGTTCCAGTTGAACCAACAGTCACTATCCGACCTAAAGCGCCTCAACATGCTGCACAGTTGGCTCTGCTCTCGTGTCATGTCACTGGATTTTACCCTCCTGAGATTGATATCACGTGGCTGAAAAATGGAGCACCAATTCCTGATGGTGTCATCAACACTGTCCTTTTATCAAATGGTGACTGGACCTATCAGGTGGAGGATCTCCTCCAGTATCAGCCAGTGTCTGGGGATAAATATACCTGTCATGTGGAACACAGTAGCCTGGGGAGTCCCAGGAGTGTGGAATGGGGTAAGAAATGAATCTGAGCTAGTACTGCTTGGATATGAGTTTCAGGAAGTTTAGACACCATTTTTATTATGTCTCTAATCAAAAACCCAGTATTCAATCATATTTTATGTTCTAATACATTTGAGGTACTGCTTTTACTATCTTGTGAGCCTGAACTTTTGATCACTGTCCTTCCATGTCACCCAGTTTTGCTCTTCTGGTTAATAACTTACCTCCTGTATTTTAATGTTTGAGTGCTTGTTGAAAAATTATCTTCCTTCAGTACTGTTGCCAAACGTGTAATATAAACATAGGGAAACCCATTACAGGGAAATGCCAGCGTCTATTATAAAATGCATGATAGCAGAAAACTTGGAAAATATTGTCAAATCCCATTAAAGTCAGCATAGAAAGGCAAATCCTGCTTAAATCTACTGGAAATTTTGAGGATGCTGTGTATTTGGATTTTCAGAAGCTTTCTGATAAATCCCTTTGTTAGTGGGTAAAGTTAAAGCACATGGGATAAAGGGTAATATTGGCATGGATTATGAATTGGTTAACTGACAGTAAACAGTAAAAATAAATGGCTCCTTTTTCCAAGTGGATATGTGCTTGGACCCCAACTATTCATGACGTATTAAAATGATCTGGGTGAGGGAATCCAAGACAACAATTTCAAGTTTTGTTTTTTTTTCTCTTGATGTCACAAAACTAGGCAAGGTTCAGATGGGGATGTAAGGAGGCTTCAAGGCAACGTACTCCAGTTGAGTGAGTGAGCAAAGACATGACTGGTGCAGTACAACATAGCTAAATGCGAAGTTATACACCTTGATGTGAAAGAAGCAAAGTTTTTAAAATGGTGATTATGTTGGGAAATGTGGATATACAAAGGGACCTGGGTATTCTTGTGCATCAGTCAGTGAAAATAGAAAAGCAGGTGCAGTAAGTAATTAGGAAGGCACATCCTCATTTCAAGAGGATTTAAGTTCAGAAGCAGGGATGTCTTAGTGCAGTTGTAAATGGCCCTGGTTTAGTAGGCAGAGGGAATCTGTCTGAATTGTATTAAAATTCAAACAGCTGGATTACTTAATGCAGGGAGGATGTTTCCCTTGCTAGGGAGTCTAGAGTAATCTATCCATCTGAGGAGATGGGGATTGACCACTTTAGGACTCAAACGTGAAAAGTTTCTTCTCTTTAAATGGTAATGAATCTGTGGAATTCTCCAAGTCTCGATATATTCAAGAAAAAAAGTAAACGTGTTGATTCAAGGTATCAAATGATATGGGGAGAAAGTGAGAATATAGCATTGAGATAGTGGATTACCAATGATTATATTGATTGTGGAGCAGGCTCAAGGGCTGAATGGCCTGCTTTGTTTCAAGTATTGTCAAAGATCTGTTGCTTCGGTTGTGGGTGAGGTTGTTGACTTGCTCGCTGAGCTGTCTTGTTTTTGTTCAGACGTCTTGTCACCATGCTAGGTGACAAGATCAGTGGAGCCTCCAATGAGGCGATGTTATTCTGCTCCACTTGGAATTTATGCTGTCCAGTCTGTTATGTTGAGTACTGTCATTTTTGGTTTTGATCTGTATGGGGTCCAATGTGATATGCTTGTTGATGTGTGGATGGAGAACCATGCCTCTGGGAATTCCCATGCATGTCTGTTTTGCTTGGGCTACTATGGTTACTTTGTCCCAGTTAAACTGATGGCCTTCATTGTCTGAATGTACCGATTATTAAGGAGAGTTCATGATGCTGATCGGACAGACAGGAAGGAAACTAGCCATCAGAATACACTAACATCAACTAGCAGCAAGGCAGCACGTGAACTCTCCTTAATATCGGTACATTCAGACAATGAAGGCCATCAGTTTAACAGCGACAATGTAACCATAGTAGCCCAAGCCAAACATAGACACACAGGAATTCCTAGAGGCATGATTCTCCATCCACACTTCAATCAACAAACACACAGAATTGGACCCCATATATAAACCCATACAGATCAAAACCAGAAATGACAGTACTCAACATAACAGACTGGACAGCATAAATTCCAAGCGGAGTAGAATAACATTGCTTCATCAGAGGTTCCACTGTCACCTAGCATGGTGACAAAACATCTGAACAAAAACAAGCCACCTCGGTGAGCAAGTCAACAACCTCGGCCTATTTGTTTCTGTTTCTATGACCTGCTTGCCATTCTAAAGTCCCGTACGCATTGAAAATTCCATTCCTCAGAAGTGATTCCTCCCTTCCAATGAGCATGTAATTAATCTCCCAAATGAAGTTATTCCTAGTTATTCCTATTTATCTCTCTTTACTCTAAAGATGTCTTGAACACTTTCCCTGGTTGTTTTTATTGTATTGAGCTTGTCTAAACCTTGTTTTTAGTCTTCTCACCTGGTACCCCCCTTTGTGTCTTTGTTAATATCTTGCCTATTCTGTAAATCCAAAAATTATCTCCTTCCATTCTGTTCATTGGCGTTAAACCTATTTTCCTGAATGCTGTTATGCAGTTTGAAAATTAAAAAGGACAGTAAACTTTAATTTGCATTTGTTCCCTGACATTTCTAGCATTGATATTTCATTTTGTCCAAGTTCTGTTATCTTTGGTCTTCAGCTTTTCATCACTTTGATTATAGTTGCTTTTACATATTGATCTAGATCAACCTTGCTACTTATTTTTCTTTGCATTTACTTCACTTGGGGGGTTTTTTTTGTTTTGCTCAGTTGGATAATTCTTTATCCTTTTCAGCTTGGCTTTACAGGTTCAGGAATAGCCATGATTCCATCTTTCCCTTCCATTTGATACCAATTCTGGGGAAAACTAACTCAAAGTTCCCTAATCTTTGCTTGGTGTAGCCTAAGACCACTTTCCCAACTCCTTTCTTAGAATATAGTCCCTTCCTGTTTCATCAGTTTGATAAGACCTTTGGTGACCTTTCGCACTAATCCATATTCTTGTCCTACTCCCTGGGAGTCAAAGGACTTGATGGAAAAGTTGATGCTCAGCATGCTTGTAAAGTCTTTTGCTGAATTGCAAATATTCTCCTTCTGTCATCACACCAGTTTGTTTTAAATGCTACTGAAGTGCCTCCTTGACCTGACCTGTGAATTTTCACGTGTGCCTTACTACTGTCAGTTCCCTATCACTCAAGTGACTACCCCCCCAGTTTCTCTTTGCTTCTGATATCCTAAAGTATTTTGCACAGATGGCTTTTGACTCCATTAACACATACTCTACACACACAATCTGCGTGAGCCAGGACTTGTCATTCTTCTGCATTCTGACTATGTATGAATTATTGGATGGCAATACAAACATCAGTTCCAATTAAATTACACTGCTCCTTTTTTCCATTCTCTATTTCTACATTACTAACATCTTCTAGTAACTAGCTTACTGAATGATCTGTTAATGGCCAAGATTGCTGTATGAGGAATTCTAAATTCTTACTAATCAAAATGTTTTACACTACCTATCTTGCACAGTTCCAACCCAGACCACTTTCTGAAGAAGCGTCACTAGACCCAAAACATGAACTCTGCTTTCTCTCCTTAGATGCTGCCAGGCCTGCTGAGTTTTTCCAGCAATTTCTGTTCCTGGCTCCGATTACAGCATCTACAGTTCTTTCGGGCTTTTTCACTTTTTATTGGATAGTTTAAAGTAATCTATGTAAGCTTACTTCAGCTCTCCAACTGTCTGAGAATTCTAGAACCCTTTCCTTGAATCTCATTTTCACAAGGAATAGTGGAACCATCTCTTGTTTAAATGTAGTCACATCTTTTAAAGACCCTATAACCTTGTTAGAATTAGACTTGTAGAGTGGAATGAGAACAAGCTGCTGGAAATCTAGCAGTCAGCAACATACACATTCCCAGTATTCCTTTTACCTGCGCTTATTGCTTATATTTGTTCATCCACCTCCTTGCAGCAGCCACTGTTCCACTGCAGCCTGAAGAGAAATTCTTCAGTCAAATGCATGAAGATTTAACCAGGGAATGGGATTCTACTTTGTGGCTGCAAGTTCATTACTAAAGTGAACACCTAGTCTTGCTTTTACACCTGGAATGTTTTATTTGGACAGAAGTACAGAACACCTCTGAATCAAAGAGACACAAGATCATTGTTGGAGCCCTGTTCTTTGGGATTGGACTGATTATCTTGCTGGTTGGAGTGATAATGAGACTGAAGAATGCGAAAGGTGAGACTTTTCCTATGCCTCAAGAGTGTGGGACATTTGCCTTCAGGCTTCTGGCTGTGTTTCAGAATTCTATGTTGGGCTGTTGTTTAGGGCTGAGGCTCCACATGGCAATTATGAGCAGTTTAAAGCTTACTGAAGTTCAGTTGCTGAACTTGGGAAATGCCACTAGTTAACACTGTTACCACCAGGTAAGGTAAAGCTGTCACTATTGGGGGTTGGCTACAGCTAATTTTGTTCTTTGTATTTTTTTTTTAAAAAAGCTGCTCAAGTATGGAAATGTGGCTGGGAATTTTTAACAGTCCTAATCAAGAGATCCTTTCTACACAGCAGGCACCTTCACCCATTAATGGTTAGCTAAATCTATTAGGTGGGGATATTTCCAGAGCCTTCAAATGCAATAGGATGAATGTATAATGGACTGTAATCCAGGAAAAATCAGTATCAGGGTAATTGTGACTGTTTGACGTTAATGTAAAGCCTGTTTGCAAACCCTGCCATACTATCCAAATGTTAGATTTATCTAAAGTTTTGGCAAAGATCTGTAGCTTGGGTTGTGGGTGAGGTTGTTGACTTGCTCGCTGAGCTGGCTTGTTCTCGTTCAGATGTTTTGCCGCCATTCTAGGTGACATCAGTGGAACCTCCGATGAATTGAATTGATGTTCTTTTACTCAGCTTGGAATTTATACTGTTTGGTCCATTATGGTGATTTCTGTCACTTCCGGTTTTGATCTGTATGGGTTTGTATATGGGGTCCAATGCTATATGTTTGTTTGCATTACAGGCGGGGAACCATACCTCTAGGAATTCCTGTGCGTGTCTATTTGGCTTGGGCTACTATAGTTACCTTGTCCCAGATAAACTGATGGCCTTCATTGTCCGAGTGTACCGTATTGAGGAGAGTTCGTCGTGCCAATGTAATGTTTGTGGCAGTCGTTGCATGGTATTTTTGTAAACCACATTGGTTCTGCATGTTGTGGGAATGGGGTCTTGAATCCTTGTAAGTGTTTGTCGCAAAGACCCCATTCCCACAACATGCAGAACCAACGTGGTTTACAAAATACCATGCAACGACTGCCACAAACATTACATCAGAAAGACAGGAAGGAAACTAGCCATCAGAATACATGAACATCAACTAGCAGCAAAACGGCACAATGAACTCTCCTTAATATCAGTACACTCAGACATGCACATCAATTTAACTGGGACAGGGTAACCATAGTAGCCCAAGCCAAACATAGACATGCACAGAAATTCCTAGAGGTATGGTTCCCCACCCGTAATGCAATCACCAAACATATAGCATTGGACCCCGTATACAAACCGGAAATGACAGTACTCACCATAACGGACCAGACAGTATAAATTCCAAGCACAATAATAACATCGCTTCATCAGAGGCTCCACTAATGATGTCATCTAGCATGGTGATTATGTCTGAACAAGAACAAGCCAACTCGGTGAGCAAGTGGATTTATCTATAGGATACTTAATCAGGATAACTCTAAATCCATCTAGCTGACCTTTTTTATTTTTAATTGAGACTTTCTTTTAGAATAGAACAGCTCAGTCTTTTAAATGCATCCTGTCTAAAGGTGCTGAGCAGAGACTATTGGTTGTGAACTACTTAGGAAATACTTTCTGAAATATGTTCACTGTTGTATAGGAAATATGGCAGCCAACTTGCAACTCCCACAAACAACTTAAGCAGTTGAGTAAGGGTCACCAGACATGAAACTTTAACTCTGATTTCTCTTCCTAGATGCTGCCAAACCTACTGAGCTTTTCCAGCAACTACTTTTTTTGGTTTCTGACTTGCAGCATCTGCAGTTCTTTTTTTGTTTTTAACTTAACATTACAATACAGATTCTGTCTAATTGAGGAATAAAGATTGATCAGGACAGACTGGGCCTTAGTTTCAACACCTAATCTAATGTACTGTCAGATGTAACCTAGCATTCCACTGGAGTGTGAAATTTTGTATTCAAGCCCCACTCCTTGCAGCCCTAACCTCTTTTTGACTTGGGCAACCTAACCACGTTTGATTTCTCTTTCAGCTATCTTGGACTCGGGCAATCATGGTCCACGTAAGTATAATGGCCAAGAATTAATTTCTATTTTGTGGGAGGGATGTACTGGGGGACTGTGACAAATACAGTTGTGACTATAACATTTCCACTTCTAGAATTACCCAGGGACAGATACTAGAGTGACCTATTTGCCCATTTCCACCAGTCTCATTGGCAGGAATGTATAAATAAGATAAATGGTCAGTGTTGGGAGCTTTGGAAGTACTTTTCCAAACTTTGAACTATTCAGGATCCTTATCTATTGCAGTAATCATTTAGCTGCACAAGTGACAACACATCCTCATCTTAAGATATAAAACTGGGCTGGGCCCTCTTGTGGTGCAGAAGTGGTGACCTGACAACTGGACCAGGAAGCCTGGGGTCAAGTCCCACCTGCTTATAAACCTGAACAGCTTATTAGAAAAATAAGCTATAAAACTGGATGTCCCATACAATACTGCTGATCCTAATTTTTCCAGCCATTGTCACCTGTGGTTTGGAAGTCTCTCGAGAATGTACTGTACAATCCATCACATGAATGCTTTAGAGCTCCATTGCACCCCGTTTTGTACTGTTAAACTCTAGACCATTGCTATCTGCATATTGAGGTTAATAGCAGACTGGATCAATATAGTTTGATTTGGGTTAAGTGTGTATAAAGATGGTCCTGTGTTTTTAACTCTGGTAATTTTTCTTTCAGGTCTGATGGGTCCAGCTGTCAGTTAACTAACCCATGGCAAATGTGGTCCAAAACATTGGAGTAAAAGAATCTATTAAATGATGGAATTGAACAGCTTTAAAATGCATCTCGACGACTCCTGGCTCTATCTGTGACTATAGCTTACTGGGTGCCAGGCTACTTAACCTTTTTGCAATGTTTGAGATTAACTTTATGCAATGTTGAGATTTTTACACAGCAGATATCGCTAATGCAATTAAAACAGGGATGTGTGTGCAGCAATTATCACCTGGATCAGTGACTAAACATCTTGGAGTTAAGAAACGGGGATTAGTGCCAGGTCCGGATTAGTGCCAGTCCATTCTGTGTCTGCACTTTCTTTCTGCATTTTTTTAACATGTCAGACTGTCTATTGGCCTGGATTATCATGGAGTCAGGGAGACTCCATGGATGGGTAAAAATGGCAACAGGGCCAGATTCCAGAATTTGTGACCACATAATCAGCATTTGATTTTTCAGGTGTGCTTTTAACAATGTGTGCAGGTTTGGGTCACAATCCCACACTCTGCTTTCCTGACCTGATCTGCCCCACAAAAAAGATAGCTATGTCCTAGTTCATTGCTCAAGTCTGCATAAATAACAATTTCCACAGAGTCATGGTTCATGGCACCTGTCATGAACCATCTTCTGCCTGAGATTTGTGTTTTTGAAAGGCAAGCTCAAAAGCTCCTCAAGCCTCCCATACCAAGCTATTGTACTTTCATGCCCATTCATCCATTGCACACTATAGAGCCAATGCATTATGTCATGACAATTCTTTTTGAAAACTGCATAGAATATTTAATGTTTAGTATAAATGCCAAACATTCATTGGCTGAAACAGCTGATCCCAGGGAAATTGCTTGATTTGAGCTCTGGTCTCTGAATTATGTGGAAATCCCATGTTTGAGCACAAGATTTCAAATACCCATTAAAATCCAAAACAGTTGCAGATGTTGTAAATCAGGAACAAAATAAGTTGCTGGAAAAGCTCAGCAGGTCTGGCAGCATCTTTAAAAGAAAAATCAAAGTTCACATTTCTGGTCCGGTGACCCTTCCTCAGAACTGATTGTAGCTGGGAAACATCAGTTTATATACAGAAAATAGGGAGGGGCCTGGAGTAGGGGGTAAACAACAGGATAAAGCCCAGAGAGAAGAGCAGTTGGGTAGACAAAGGAGTGATAACTATCTGGCTAGGAAGGTGGGGACTGTTAGTGAATATTCACCCTCCTAGCCAGATCATTATCAACTCCTATCTCCAGGCTCTACCCTATAGTTTACTCCACCCTCCTCCCTATTTTCTGTACATAATCTGTTTTCACCGCTTCAGGTGCTGCCAGACCTACTGAGCTTCTGTTCAAATACCCATGATTTGTTACAGATAGCTGGGGTCAGGATGGCCAGTCATAAAATCTGAGGGGAAATTTTTAAATGTGCTATTTTTGAGAATCACTTAAATTGTAGTATCAACCTAGGTATGTGGAATCAAAAATGGAATGTCTGACCTGACTGGCACTCACCCTTCCAATGCCTTGAGCTGGCAGACTCCTGAGTCGGGAATTTTTCAAGTCTCACCATCTTTCTAAAAGATGAAAATCCAGGCCTTTATCTGTAAATAAATGTATATCAATGTTACAATTGATACTTGTCATAGAACCAATTTGATTAAAATTCATTTTTATTTGACTCTCCTAATGTTGGTTCTTTCCTGTAACATTTGCAACACAATTTGAATGGGCTTATCATTGTTTTTGGGTTTCAATATAATCAAAGCATGGGAATAGTGTGTAATTGTTTTTAGGCAAAAGATATTGAGCTTTGCTTTCTTAATCCAATTCCAGCTGGGCACTGTATATTTCATTGTGCAGAATGAGCTATTCCAAACCAACAAAGAGGCTGCTTAATTTCAAATTAGTGGTTAATAGTCTGGAGTATGCGAATACACCCCCTGGAGTAAATGTAACCAGAGTTCATAACTCAACTAGTCAGTGCTAAAACAATTGCTTGGTATATCTGACAATGGATTGTAAATAAAGTAGGCTCCCCCAGTCAGAATCAAACCTGGTTTCAACAGACAGAAGTTTATTAAAAATTGCCTATTAGACCACTCATTCAAGCGGAGAATGAAGGGATGAAACAAGGTGAGGAATGTTGACAAAAATCTTAGAAACAGAGGAAATACAGGTTTGAGCTGGTGGTAAAGATTGCTGTGTTGGTGGGCTACTTAGGGCGTGTGAACTTAAAGGGGGAAACGATCAGGTTTCTGTCAAGCCTATGATATCAATGAATTTATCCTTTAACTGGCACCGAGGGGATTAATGAGGTTGATACTGCAGTTGAGGCTTGGCTTATGAGCAGCAATTGAGCAGACTGGGAGTATACTCATTGGAATTTAGAAGAATGAGGGGGGATCTTCATAGAAACCTGTAAAATTCTGAAGGGAATAGGTAAGAGAATCAGGCAGGTGAAAGTAGAACTAAGGGGCATAGCCTCAAAATAACAGGGAGCAGATATAAGACTGAGTTGAGGAACTTCTTCAAAGGGTTGTGCATTAGCGGAATTCCCTGCCCAGTGAGGCAGTTGAAGCTGCCTCAATGAATGTTTTTAAATCAAAGATACTACTTTTTTAACAGTGAAAGAATTAAGGGTTATGGTGAACAGGTGAGCAAGTGGAAGAGAGTCCATGTAAAGATCAGTCATGATGTCATTGAATGGCAGAGCAGGCTCGATGGGCCGGATGGCCTGTTTCTGCTTCTGCTCCTATTTGTTATGTTTGTAGGTTATTCCCACTCGTTAACCTTTCCAAGGACTAGAGGGGCTGGAAAATTGGGGTGCCTCAAAAGAGGATATGAAAGGTGAGACTGAGAGCTGTTAATCTGAATTCATGTAGCATTTGTAGCAACTGATGAACTGCAGTCCATTGGAGAAATGACTGCAAAATAATAGATCTGAATATTCAATGGTACACTTTAAAACAGCAGGAAATCTGAGGGTGACTAAGGACAAGCAGCAAATGCTGGCCAGCCAGCAACACCCATGTCCCATAAACAAATAAAAGAAAACTAGGTAACGTAATTCAAAGGATGACATTAAGTGCCATATTGAGATGACTTTAGTTCTAAAGGTTATGTAGTAAAATTGGTTTGAGTGGTAAATAGGACAAGTAAAATGTTGCTTTATGGATGGAGTTAATAATGCCCCTTAACTAGCTTTGAAGAAAGTTTATGGAGATGATGTTGGGTGACTTTAATCCAAATTTGAATTGGACTTCCATAGTAACCTAGAAGAGGAGTTCCGTTTTTTTTTCAGGTTAGTTGTCTAGAGCAGGGTATTTTAGCTCTGGTAATATGCAGTGAGGATCGATAAATTACTGACCTCCATAAGGGAGTCTTTAGGTAGCAGTGATCAAAATATGATTGAATACAAATTTCAGTTTGAGGAAAGAGTGGTCCTAAAATTAATGAAGAGAACAGGCTGGAGTGAACTTAGAATTGGGTTAAGAGGTATGTCAACAGAAATCAAATTTTTGCATGTGACTTTAGGGAAGGATGCAGCTGCATAGCCAAGGTCTGATGGTATCAAATTGGAAGAATGTGTACTGTGTTCTGCGCAGGATCATAATATGTCAGAAAATAGGATAGGATATGAAAGCCTGCAAAGAATTACTACTGCAGAGGTAAGGAGGGAGAAAAGGTTAAATTTTCTCAGTATATTACTCCATGAAAGCAGAGACTACCTGTCATAGGAAGCTTCCTAAGGGGCATGAGCCATCTAGGAACTTTTGGCCGTGCTGGTAATAAGAATTAGACAGTAGAAACTGGGATTGTTTCCCAGCACAGTTTCAGAATTTCATTTCGTGAGTGTTCTTCCCAGTAGTGGACCCTTGGCTCATGGCTGATGCTTCATCCTGAGGAATTTACCTAGCAGTTTTTACAGTGGTAGTCTTCCATTGCCTTCCACCTTGGGAAGGCAAAAAGGCAGGTTCCAAATCCATCTTGGCTAGAGTAGCAACTGAAACACAATGGTTTCATTCTGAGCTGCAAGATAGCTAATGGCACCAACCAGCCCTACAGGAGTGTATTATTTAAGACTGATATGCAAAATTTCTTTACTTAATGTTCTAAGCCTTTAAAATTCTTAATTCTAGGTGGTTATGATGCCACATGGCTGACTATTTTCAAGGTTTGTTTTTGATTTTTCTCAGGAAATCGAAGGGCATGTGGAGTGAGTGCAAAAATGGGTGGTCTTCTGATCCTATTTCTTAGGATATAATACAATGGAATTATGACAAAATGTGGCTTAACTGATTGTTATAGCACAGCTAGACATGAGGTGAGCGGTGAAGAGACTTGGGATCTACAGGTTAAAGGTTACCTGTTTCTCCTGAAACTACTACACCCAACATTTGTTGATATCATTCTAAACTATTGGTCCAGATCTCCTGATTAGCTGCATCTTGAGGATGTCACCATTGAATGTGAAGATATTTAAGCATTTACCTTTTTGCATTCTCATCAGGAATTTGTGTCCTGTGCAGAATCTTTTATTTTTCTGTCATTTTGACTGAAATGGGAAAAGGACTTTCTTTTTTCACAAAAAAAAAATTGTGGAAGGGATTACTGCACTTTTTAAAAGCATTTAAACTTTACAAGCATTCCTTGCTGTTTACACTGCTATTTGTTTAAGCTTAAGGGGAAGGTACTGCAGACAAGCTGAAGCAAGGGCTTGTGTATAAAATGAGATTCGGTCAGTAAATGCTACTCAGTAGCAGTAGTGTGTACTACCTATAAGATGCAGGGCAGAAACTTACCAAATATCCTGAGAGAGCACCTTCCAAATCCATGACTTCGTCCATTTAGAAGAACAAGGGCAGCAGATGCACCACCACCTCCAAGTTCCTCTCCAAGCCATTCATCAGCCTGACTTGGAAATATATTCTGTTTGTTCTCTATCACCAGGTCAAAATCCTGAAATTCCCACCCTAAAGGCAGATTTGATCAATCTACAGCACATGGACTGCAATGGTTCAAGAAGGCAGCTCACTTCCACCTTCTCGTGGGCAACTAGGGACAGGCAATAAATGCTGGTCCGGCCAATGTTGCCCATGTTCCAAGAATGAATTTTTAAAAAAAAAAAAAGCTGATTGGGCGGTGGAATGGTGGGGAACCAGTAATCGATGACAAAGGCCTTCTACCTACTAATAAGTATGGAATTGGGTCCCAGATAGCTGTAGAGCTTGTGCGTGTGACTGTGTGGCCAAAAGCCATCAGATCTCTACAAAGGAAACTTGTGTCCTTTTCTTTGCGTAAAAAACACTTTAAACCTGAAGAAAGCCAATTAATTTTCCCTCAGCAGTTGCTGAAAGCTGTGGCTCTTAACTAATAAGTCGGACTTTATAAATGTGAATGAGTCACTCTGTCCCTCCTGCAAGCAAGTGTAAGTAGGAAGAAGGATCATTGAGAAACACAAGTCCTGACCAGCCAAAAGGATCATCTCAGCAAACGATGTGGATAGGGACAATTGAACTGCTTTTCCTGTCTTACCCTGAACCTATTACACCCATTTTTACGTCTGTCTGTGTGTGTGTGTGTGTGTGTGTGTGTGTGTGTATGTGTATGTGTGTTGAGGTGCTTTATAAGAGGGATAGAAAGTTTTAACACATTGAGTTAGAACAAAAGAGAAGTATGGCACAGGAACAGGCCCTTCAGCACCACCTTCCCCCCCCCACCCCACCAAGCCTGTAACAATCATCATGCCCTGACTAAATTAAAAAAAACCTTCTGCCCTTATTCAGTCCATATCCCTCTATTCCCTCCCTATTCATGTCACCATCCAAATGCCTCTTAAATGTTGCCAACGTGCCTGCTTCCACCACCACCTCTGGCAGCGCATTCCAGGCTCCTAGCATACTCTGCATGAAAAACTTTCCTCGCACACTTCCCTTAAACTTTTGCCCTCTGAACCCTTGTATTTCAAACTTCAGCCCTGGGAAAAAGCCTCTGACTATCCACCCTATCTGTGCCTCTCATAATTTTTTAGACCTCTATCAGGTGTCCTCTCAGCCGCCGTCATTCCAGTGAAAACAGTCCTAGTCTTTTAACCTTTCCTCATATCCAATGCCCGCAAGACCGGCCAATACCCTAGTGAACCTTATCTGCACTCTGTCCAAAGCTTCCACGTCCTCCTGGTAATGTGGGGACCAAAACTGCACACAATACTCCAAATACAGCCTAACAAGGATTTTATATTGCTGCAACATGGTTTTACTAACTCTTGTACTCTGTGCCTGGCCAATGAAGACAAGCATGCCATATGCCTTCTTAATCACCTTGGCTACCTGTGGATCTGCACACCCAGATCCATCTGTATGTTAGTGTTCCTAAGGATTCTGCCATTTACAGTATAATTCACACGTAAATTTCATCCTCCAAAATGCAACACCTTGCATTCATCTGGATTAAATTTCATCTGCCATTTCTGTGCCCAAGTTGCCAATCTATCTATATCCTGTTGTATCCTTTCACAATCGTCAGCATTATCAGCAACTCCACCAATCTTCTTGTCTTCTGCAAACTTACAAATCAGACCACCCACATTTTCCTCCAGATCATTTATATATACTACAGACAACTGAGGACCTAAGACTGATCCCTGTGGAACACCATTAATTACTGGTCTCCATTCTG